TTTTTTACAGGTGGGATAATTTTGGAGACTAAATTGTCAATTTCAAAGTTTTCGAATTTTCAAATTGCCAATTTCAAAGTTTCAGAATTTTCAATTTGCCTATTTCCAAGTTTTCGAATTTCCAAATTACTAATTTCATAGTTTTCGTTTTTTCAAATTGCCAATTTTAAAGTTTTCGAATTTCCAAATTGCCAATTTCAAAGTTTTCGAATTTCCAAATTGCCCCTTTCCAAGTTTTTGAATTTCCAAATTACCAAATGCAAAATTTTTTATTTTTCAAACAGCAACATTCGAAATTACCCAATTTTCAAATTACCAATTTTAAAGTCTTAGAACTTTCGAATTAAATATTTTTCAATTTCACTTTTTCAATCATATTTATTGTGGGAAATGAAGGTTAGGTTAGGAAGTTGGGGAAAATGAAGTCGAAGTGAAAATTATATTAATTTGGTATTTTATAGATTATAATATGTAAATTAACGGGTAGGAGTAATATATTATAAATTACAATGTCTAATGTAAAATATATAATATATTGTAAAGTACAATACATATATACAGATGTTATATACATGTGAATACATATATTAAAATATAATCACATATGTTATTCTCATTTCTGCACGTTTCAAGTATTGATTGAGAAATGATATTAAAAATCAGTGAAATGATTGAAAAAATGAAATTGAAAAATATGTAATTCAAAAACCCCAAGACTTTAATTGGCAATTTGAAAATTGGGGAATTTTGAAAGTTGCAGTTTGAAAATTCAAAAATTTTTCATTTGGTAATTTGGAAATTCAAACACTTGGAAATGGGCAATTTGAAAATTCGAAACTTTTAAATTGGTAATTTGGAAATTCGAAAACTTGGAAATGGACAATTTGGAAATTCGAAAACTTTTAAATTGGTAATTTGGAAATTCGAAAACTTGGAAATGGGCAATTTGGAAATTCGAAAACTTTAAAATTGGCAATTTGAAAAATCGAAAACTTTTAAATTAGTAATTTGGAAATTCGAAAACTTGGAAATAGGCAAATTGAAAATTCGAAAACTTTGAAATTGACAATTTAGAATTAAAATATCCATCGAATTCCCAGAAGTAAAAATTTACACATGTCAAAATCTCATATGTGAAATATTCCACACATTCCAAACAATTTTCCCTTATCCTACAATCCATAATAAATAACTTCCTATCAACACTCTACCAATAAAGAATCTCATGCATTCAATTACTAAAAAGAACTAAAAATTCTCTTTTTTAAATTCAAGCTCATTTTGTAATAATTTCCTGTAATACAGGATCATCAACTGCTATTATCCGTAAATGATTATTGAAGCTCCTTTATCTTACATAAGTTCATTAAAAATTTTCAAATCTATGGCTCATGCGATAAATCAATAACCAATAGAATTAAAACCTATTATATCATTAAATAGAACGGTTATTATCTCTGTCTACAACACCTATCATCATTTTGTATAGAGATTAGATCATCTATTGTTATTGTTTTTAATAGTTATGTTACATCATTTTTAGAGAGTGTTATGCTGATATAACATTTGAAAAATTCTTCAGGATTTTTTCGTCACTAATCATTCTTCGAATCAAGGAGATCAGTAAATCACTGCACTTCTATTTGTAACACTTTATCATTTTAGGAATAATGAACAAACAATTGAATGAGTTTGTATGTGTATATGAACTTGTATTTTTTAGAGACATTTAATGAAAACTTTCGTAAGATGAAGAAATGACTTTCTCTTCGTTATAACCAAAATAATAGGTTTACGTAAAAAATGTATAGAACATTGTTTTTAGAACTCTTTAAGAGCTTCATCTTTTACTTGAAACTTTTTCTTCTAAAATTAATAGTTTCGGAGATATTTAATAAAAACCCCAATTTGACTCACGTTGAGTTATTTAGGTCGTAACATTCGAAATAATAGGTTTACGACAAAAATCTATATAACCTTTTTTATAGAGCTTTTAATGAGCTTCATTTCTTATTTGAAACTTTTTTCTCTATCTTTAATATTTTCAGATATATTTATTAAAGACTGTAATCAATTTTAAGTAGTGTTGGGTGCAAACGAGACATAGTCGCCAAAAGTCTTTCTAGGGACTTTCTCTTATTATCAAATCTTTATTAAAATTTCACCTTCAACCTAATGATTGCGTCTTTCCAAACTTCACCCAACAATGTTACCAATTATTAATAACAATTTTGTCTCAACCAGGAACGCACTTATCTAACAAAATTCTCTGCATATCTCAGCGATTATTTCAACAAATGCACGAATCTCGAGACTCGCACGTTTTCCAGCGTTTTATATTCATCGCGTAATCTCTCGCAATGTTCGAACAATATCGTAAAATATTTGACCATGAAGCAGTCCGATTCAATGAAAAATCATTCCGAGTAAAGAAAGATACAAAGTCCATGATACACAAAGAAATAAATCGCGTCTAGTGTCAGCTAATGGAATCTTTTCCAAATCCCCTGTCCAGTTAACCACGATAACAATTTTATACAAACCATTCGTTATCTGTGATAGATGTGGCTCGCAATGTTAAAGTACGCAAAAGTAAACAGTTTCTTACAATTATCGTTTCCGTTCAACGAATCGCGCACTCGAAGCTTATCGATCACTAAAGGATATTAACCGATGCTTTTTTAATTACTGTATCATCGATCTGATAGAGGTAGCACTAACGCTATCTATCCGATTGAGACGGGTTATTTTAATGGATTATATTATTAGAATCGAGGTACTTCAGATAGGGATTCCCAAATTTTAATCAATAGATACACTTACGGATTATTTTCTTTTACTAAATAGTTATTCAAAAAATTCCAATGTTTTGATGTAGAAAGAATATCTAAATAATATTGTGAAATACTATGAAATTAATGCTTAATCAATAATATGAAATTTGAGAGGCTCAAGATTTGTATGTTCCAATATTTTGAGTTTTGAAAGCCAAGATTCAGATGTTTCTATATTTAAAAATTTTTAAGTTTGAAGTTTTTCATGTTTTATAATTTAAAGGTAGTAAAGTTCTGATCATACAAAATTTCAAAATTTGAAGATGCATAATATGTTCAACAACTGTGAATTTTTAGAATCACAAGGTTCCAAAGTTCCAAAATTATGAAATTTCAGTCTCAACTTCTCAAAGTTTATAAATTTTAGGGTAGCAAAAAAGACACTTACAGTGTTAAAATTTCAAAGCCACAAAATCTTAAAGTTCCAAAATTTCCAAAATGTAAATCTTGAATCTTCAAAATTTCGCAATTTCAAAACAGCATATTACAAATTTAATGTTACTTTAAAATTTCAAAACAGCAAAGTAACAAAGTCCTGAAGACCCAAAATTCAAAAATGTTCAAAGCGTAAAATTTCAAAATCTCCAATCATCAAAATTAAAAAGTTTTAAAGTAACAAAGTCTTGAAGAACCAAAGTACCAAAATTCTACCCTAACCAAAAATTTCAAAACTTTGTTTCTCAAAGTTCTAAAGTAGCAAAGTCATAAAAACCCAAAGTGCCTAAATTCCAAAGCTATAACGAAACAAAATACTATTTCCTTCTGTCAGTATGTTTATACCCATAAAATAAGGAGTTTGCGTGTGCACATTGAACTTTTTTATAACCTTCAAATTCTAAGAAATTATTCTGTTGCATCCTGTATTTCCAAGTATCTCTTTGACGACACGGATTGTTTATTCATGAATTTCCTCATGAAAACTTTTGATTCACAAATCAACGTCATTCGGTGATGTGAATCACCTTTTACAACCCAGAAATGAATACCAATCTTCGTAAAAAAAGGATGGGTAAATATTTGCAAATAGAATGAAATATTATATTAATTTTTTATGGGTTATGAGATATTTTTGAGTCAGTGATATCATTACTAAGTTAGGTTAGGTTCAGTTAATAATATCTTTACGAAATTAGGTTAGGTTAGTAATATCTTTGCTAAGTCAGAAATTTAGACTACTGAAAATTTTAGAATTGAAAAATTCATGGAACTTGAAGTTTGTTAATATAAGTTTGCAAATTAAATGAAGTACTATATTATATTTTTATAAGTTATATAATATTTCTGTAAGTCAGTGATATCATTACTAAGTTAGGTTAGGTTACGTCAGTAATATCTTTACGAAATTAGGTTAGGTTAGTAATATCTTTGCTAAGTCAGAAATTTAGACTACTGAAAATTTTAGAATTGAAAAATTCATGGAACTTGAAGTTTGCTAATATAAGTTTGCAAATTGAGTGAAGTATTATATTATATTTTTATATGTTATATAATATTTCTGTAAGTCAATAATATCATCAGTAACAAATAAGTTAGGTTAGGTTACTGATACCTTTACTAACATAAGTTCAACTAAAAATTTCAGAATTTAAAAATTCCTGAAATTCGCTAATTAAGAAATTTAGAAATTTTGAAGTCAAATATTTGGAAATTTGATCTTGCAACTTTTAACTAAACTTGTAAGTCCAATTATAATTCTCGTAATCAAGAATCCCTGAGTACGAAATTGACCCAAAATGTGTCTGTCAAACGTCTCCTTATGTTACATTCAATCAATGAATATTATGTCAAAATTAATATTGTAAAATTAAAATTAATATTAAAACCAATATTATTTCAAAATCCCTCAATATTTCAGCAACCAGCTGACTCATCCGAAATTAACCCTTTGCACTCGAAGGTAATTTGACTGTTTGCAAACAGCAATTTTAAAACTTAATTAAAAAGTTAAATGAATTTTCTTGAGGTTATTATGTTTTTTACTAATAAATTCCACTATTGTTTATTTCACTATGTTTATACATCACACGTGTCATATTATAGAATCAGTTAAAAAATGCTTATCTCAAATTATTGTATGAAATAAAATGGTGACTGAGAGTCATCTCTCGAGTACAGAGAGTTAAATCATACAGTAAATATTTAAAAAATTATAAATTCAAGACTAACGGATGATCCATCGGCAGATTCTTGATCACCGTGTCACAAGTTTTATCCATGTATTTGTTATAACCAAGGAATCCAAACGTCGTATTCAAGCACATGGTGAATAACATGTTGTACACTATCAGACGAGGTAGATGCCCAGGATTCTTCATCGAGTTCTCCAGAGGCATACACAACGTCACATTATGCATGGCGAACATGAAGAGGGTGCAATATAAGGGTACAGTAGCGACACTCGTGAACATTTTCAGTCTCGCAGGATCAGGGAAATCGGTCAGCAAATAATGTAACGTCACACAGATGCCGGTAAATATGAATATAGTACCGATTATGGAAATAGGTGCTAAATACTTCAGGTTGGGCACAAAACCAAAACTTAAGAAGATTGGGAAAACGGCCAATATGTAAACGCGTACGTCCAAACTGACGCCGGAGTAGTACTCGATTACCTGGAAACAAATGAAATTGATAATGATTCTTTTAATTCTCTTAATTTTTGTGTTAATAATTCTTTTGATCCTTTTGATTTTTGTGTTAATAATTCTTTTGATCCTTTTGATTTTTGTGTTAATGATTCTTTTGATCCTTTTGATTTTTGTGTTAATGATTCTTTTGATCCTTTTGATTTTTGTGTTAATGATGCTTTTGATTCTTTCGAAATTCTAATGATTTTTATAATTACTTTACTAAAAGAGAAATCGTGGTACGATATTTTCTTTTATCAGTATTTATTCCCGATTTTGTGAGTGGAATAAGAATGAGAGTGTAACCACAAGAACGTCCTTTCGATATGCATCGACGAATCGATCAAAGTAAAATATGTTTTGTGGAGGAAAGCCAAGGATTGTTTCGTAATTCAAAGCAGGAAATTTTGTTACTAATTTATACTGATATTTTGTGATGTTTTAAATTGACAACTCAATGTCTATGCACTATTTAATAATGCTATAATGGTTTCTTTTTTAAATTTCATCAAAGGAAGATATGGAAGAAAATATTTAATTTCATTCAAAACTTAATATTATACTCGATTTTTACTAAAATTCATTTCTTACTGAATGCTTTTGAATTTTTTTAAAAATTGTTTTCGTAGCAGAAATCATATTTGTTCCAAGAAATTTTCTTATTTTGTAAAAATTAAATAAATCATTTCTATAATCTTTTTTACTGGTTTAAAAAAGTAATTATGTCAAGATTTGAACACTGTGTGGATCATAACTATAGCAACGAATATTATTAGCTAATTTGGTTAGGTTAGCTTTAGGTTAACTTTATCAAAAGTTAGGTTAGGTTAACCTATATTTAAATATAACCTAACCTATCCTAACTTTTGACAAAGTTAACCTAAAGCTAACCTAACTTTTAATAAAATTAACCTAAAGCTAACCTAACTTTTGATAAAATTAACCTAAAGCTAACCTTACTTTTGAGAAAATTAGGTTAACACAACCTATTCTAGCACCAAAAATGTGTTATTCAGAATGAATTAAAGCACACTAAATAACAAATAAGTCTTCACAATGTGAAGGAGGAAAAAAGGCAAAGAAAACGAGTGAGAATTATTAATAAAAATAGAAAAAATGATTGTAATGTACTACTTCCAATAATATTCGTTCTCTTTCATTTTTAGCCACGTTTAAAAAAAGAATATGCCAACGTTTGCTGTAAGTATGTTAAGTATTATTGTCGCAGTCCTAATTCGATCTCTCATGTTTTCTCCACTCGCATCTTCGCAGAAATGCGAAAGACAGACTGTTATTTCTTTGTTAACCTTATTGTGAAGATTAACACCTTGCCAAGGTCAACAAATGTAATACGTACAAATATTTATGTATCCAAGTTAGAATCCTATGCACAATTTATAACACTATAACTTTTGAAAAGTGCAAACGTTTGAAAAACGTTTTAGACAAAAGTTGCCTACTTCAGATACAGTTATGTAAATTTATGAAAATGTACCGCATAATTTGAACAATTGAAGTTAAACTCTGTTTTTCATATTTATTAGGTAATTTCGAGTATTGTTGAAATTTCATTTTTGTTCTTGTACTGCGAAAATGGTTCATGCAAAATTAAAAGGAAAATATGAGAGAATTGTTGTTAATAAATTAGTGGATATGAATATTTCATGAGAAAAATAAAATACACAATCAAATGCTTGAATGTTTCTTATTCTTTTCAGGAATGAATTTCTCTGAACTTCTCTATTCAATTAAATTGTAATTATCTAATACTTTTTTATGTAACTCAACACCTATTTAATAAAACAAAATTAGAAATTAAATTAAAATATCCAAAATAAAATACATGAATGATATAAGCTACTCGAAGCATAAACTACACGAAGGAATGAAATTCTTGAATTATAAAATAAAACACACAAACCAATGAAATCCTTAAATTATAAAATAAGATACACAAATCAATAAAGTGTTTAGATTATAAAATAAAATAAATAAATCATAAGATAAAGTACTCGAACCACAAAATAAAATACACAAGTCATAAAATACACCAAACACAACGACGAGGAAAAGAAATATCCGTAAAATCTCATATGTATATCAAACATCGGAGAATACTTCTTTATCCAACTTTCGTAACTGTTCACAAATTGTATAATACTGGTTACGCAACAGTCGCTGTGTCTTACGATCAAAAAAGTATTACAAAGAAAGTCTTCAAGAAAAAAGTACGAAACACGTTTATATTTTTTGCGCGTAGTTAATATTCCCGAGTGATCTCACCGAAGGATAATTAATTTTTTCGTCGGTAAATATAAATATTGAAAAATAATCAGATTTATGAAATGATGTCATTCTTGCGGAATTGAGATGATGAGTTCGTGAAGATTGAAAGAAAATGATGTTAAAATAAAATTGTAATAATCACATGAAAAATTAAGGAAAATGATATTAAAAGAAAATTGTAATAATTACATGAAGAATGAAAGAAAATAATGTTAAAATAAAATTGTAATAATCACATGAAGTATGAAAGAAAATGATGTTAAAATAAAATTGTAATAATTACATGAAGAATGAAAGAAAATAATGTTAAAATAAAATTGTAATAATTACATGAAGTATGAAAGAAAAATAATATTAAAAAAAATTGTAATAATTACATGAAAATCGAAAACAGAAACAGTTATTTTCCTAGAATAATTTTATCGTTACTACAAAATGAAGCTTCATAACATTCAATGAATTATACAATGAAAAGAAAATATTCACTATTAAATAATAATGAATATATAGTTAAATACTCAAAATTTGTCAAAAATACAACAAAATTCATTCTAAATTTTTGTCTGACCACAAATGCGTTAATAAATTATGACATCAACGTTATTATACCCAAAGAGACTAAAACTAACGAATTTTAAAAGATCAATATAGGTATCGAAAGTATAATGATTATGTTCGATGATGAATTTATTCGAACATCAAAATTGAATAATAAGAAATTCAAATCGAAGAATTGAGGACTATATTGTCGTTTAATATAAAATCAATCTAACATAACAGTCTCAGTCTTACAACATAAAAAACCTTACGACTCGTTCCTCACTTGCTGAAACGAGGTAGAGACATAAAGAATGTAGATGACAGCTGCCTGGATCTGCACGAAGCACACGATAACGTTGCTAAAGATGCCAAAATGTCTTCCGTACTTTCGCATCTTTTCTGGACCACTCCGAAAAGACATCTCGACAGTGTTCGCGAAGTCCAGCTTCGGTATGCGATAGCGTCTGCACAACAGCTGAGCGGAACGCACCTGCGTCCAGAAAACTTGTTTTTAGATGGGCTTCCAGGTGCCACATGCTCTTTTAAACCGGTCATTCGATAATAAACGAAAAACTCGAAATTTTCTTCAGATTTTCTACTGGAATGATTGTATGATTTATGTTCTTGTTAATTCGACTGTAGATGATCGAGTGTGGTTCTGGGGAAGTTGAAGAGGAAGTTGAAGGGGAAGTTGATATGAGGGAACACTTGGTGATTTTTAAGATTATGGGGAATTGAATGCTTTGAGGTGAGGATAGGTTAGGTTTTATTTATTAGTAGGAATTTGGGTGGTTAGGAGTTTAAAAATGGACGAACTTGACTATGTATCGAAATTTGAGAAACTTGAGTACTTTGAGAACTTTCAGAACTTTGAGAAGTTTGAGAATTTTGAGAATTTTGAGAATTTTGAGAATTTTGAGATTTTTTAAAGTTTGTGTAATTTAAGAAATTTGAAAACTGAGAAGTTTGAGAAATTTTAAAGATTTGAAAACTTTGAAACTTTGAAACTTTGAGAAGTTTGAGAAATTTAGGAGATTTGAAAATTTGGAAATTTAGATATGTGGAAATGTAGAATTTTAGGAATTTGAAAATTTAAAATTTTTAAATTTTAGGGATTCGGTAATTTAAGAAATTCGGAAATTTAGGAATTTGAAAGTTTAGAAATTGGAAAATTTAGAAACTTGGAAGTTTGGAAATTCGGAATTTTGGAATCGGAAATTTTGAAATTTTAGAAATTTAGGGATTCGGTAATTTAAGAAATTCGGTAATTTAGAAATTCGAAAATTTAGAAACTCGGAAATTTAGAAATTCGAAAATTTAGAAACTCGGAAATTTAGAAATTCGGAAATTTGGTATCGAATATTTTGAAATTTGAAAACTTGAAATTTTTGAAATTTAGGTATTCGATAATTTAAGCAATTCGGAAACTTAGGAATTTAGAAGTTTTGAAATTCGAAAATGTAAAAATTCGGAAATTTTCTAATTCGAAAATATGAAAATTTGGAAATTTAAGGATTCGGAATTTAAGAAACTCGGAAATTTAGGAATTAGAAAGTTTAGAAATTGGAAAATATAGAAACTCGAACGTTTAGAAATTCGGAAATTTGGAATCGGAAATTCTGAAATTCGAAAATATGAAAATGTAGAAATTCAGAAATTTAGAAATCCGAAAACTTTCATACTTGTTAATTTAGGAATACCAAAATTCACAAACTCGAGAATTTAAAAATTCAAAAATCCAAAAAATGTTCTATCAGGAAATTTAGAAATTTAGAAATTGCCAATATTAACTAATATTTATCCCTAAAATAACCAACTAAATATTTGAGATATTACAAATTAAAAAAGCACCCGGTATAACTTGTGCAATCGTATCATTGAATCCTTAATAAAATTCCTACTTTCGTTTTCTCGACTACCTTTTTCTCTTAAGTTTTAACTACTTACCAACGTTACAACTGTGTGTATGATCAAGAAACCCATACAGAGACTGCAGATGATTGACATTACGAAGCCATTTCTTCTGAATGCATTTGGCATAAAGAGTACTCCGGTACCGATGGCGGCTTTCAATAGATGCATCAACGCGGCAAAATCTCTAAAAAGAATTTCGCCAATCAGTCTATCAATCTCTCTGTTTCATCAATCTGTTTGTTCTTTATTTTAGTTTATCGATTTATTGTTCAAAGAATTCACTTTTATTTGCACATAATGTTATATGCTGCTAATGTTTCTGGCCTCGCAAAGTTTGTCAAAATTTTTAGATATACTGCAAGGTACCAAGAAATGATTAGAATGGAAGTTTTGCGTTTTTAGATGTTATTAGAATTGTTGACGGTGCATCGAACGAAGTCTAAGAACTGTTGACAATAAACGTTTCAAACAATAACATTATGGATCAAGCTTTATTATTTTTTTAATAATCAAATTTTATTTTAGATTTTTGGTTTTGTGGATTCGCAATTTTTTAAATTTTTGATTTCATGGATTTACAATTTTTTAGATTTTTGGTTTTCTGGATTTGTAATTTTTTAGATTTTTGGTTTTGTGGATTTGCAATTTTTTAGATTTCTGGTTTTATAGATTTACAATTTTTTAGATTTTTAGATTTTTGGACTTGTAGAGTTTTAGATTTTTAGATTTTTAGATTTTTAGATTTTTAGATTTTTAGATTTTTAGATTTTTAGATTTTTAGATTTTTAGATTTTTAGATTTTTAGATTTTTAAATCCTGGAACACATCATTAACAGAATAAAAAAAATCATTCATTTTTCGAAAATATTTTTTTAATCAAATTAAATATTTGTAAACTAGTTAAATTATCTCAAAATCTATCTTACTGCATTTAACAATAGAATTGCATTAAAAAATTGCTGTATCAATGTATATATTTAATTCTACTTCTTTAAAATTGCCTTGATAATTGCAGTTCACATACGCTCGCAAAATCATCCCTAAACTATAATTTCCATATGTAAATGAATACCCGCCAAAGCATCCCCATTAAATTCAATCTTCCCCTTTCATACCAGCAACCTTAGCAAATATCAAACAAGAAGAAGTAGCAATAGATTAAAATCAACATTTCCGCCACGCATTTCCCACTTTTCTTAGAAGAAAAAAAAACAGTAATCGAATTCCATTTCTATCGAAGAAATACATTTTGCAACAGCAAATTAATTTGTTACCACTTGGTATCGTTACCAGAATACTAAACACGAAAAAAGAGCTAAATATGGGTTCGTACGATGTCAACGGTCCTGGAGGACGATTCGCAAAAGGATCATAACCATCACCATCGTCTGGATTCGGATCGTCCGCGTGCTTCATTTCTGGGGCTCTGTCGTTTGAAAAGAATGAAGGGGCAAATAAAGAATGCTTGAAAGCGGCGCTCGGTTAACCTCACTTGTCGACCGTACCACGAGTTCCTTAGAACTCTGCAAGGCTCTTCCCCTTCTTTTTCCGTTAATGAAATATCCGGAAGTTTCGTACCCGGACTTCCAACGATGACCGGTTAAGTCAGTTGAATTTCAATGGGAGACCTCGTGCACAAAACAATCGCCTGACCCCAAACAGATCTAAGTGTGCTTCATTTCTGTAGAGAAATAAAATACTGTTAGACACTTTGTTAACATTGAAGGTGTCAATGTGACAAAGAGTTTTACAAATTCTTTATTTTAACTTGTTTTGTGTCAGCTATGAGATATATTGTAAGCTATTTTACTAAAACCACCAGCTAGGAGATATCTCATAATATTTTTCTTTATTATTGTAAATTACTTTTGATACTATATGTGCAACTGAATATTATATTTTGTGAAATTCGTAAAAATTGAATAAATTTTTGAAAACTGTAAGTTATTAAGTTTTCCTTAAAATGAAATCTGAAATGCAAATCGCTTTAGAGTTGACTGGTGAATTAACCCTTTGCACTCACTCAACCCTTTGCAAGATTCAGTTTAATAACAATTTAAAATAAAATATATGAAAATTACAATTTAAAATATATTTTTACTGAATGTATAGTATTGTAAAAAATATTGAAGACCACCTCCTGATGTCAATGACCTTGACAGATATTATCTTGACAATATTACTTTCAATTAGTGTAAATAGTATAAACTGTGAAGATTCAGTGGCAAAAATTTAAAAAGTGTTCAGAAGTAAAAAAAATCTAAAAAGTTATTTTGTAATTTCTTTATAAAAGAATCATTTTGAATAGAACTTTAATACAAACATTGTTAGGTAACATTCAATTAATCCTTAAGTTAACCAACAAATAAGAATTGTAATGAAAAACAAGAAGTGTAGACATGGTTGAAGTTGAACTGTAAATTTAAATAAAACATCGACATCGTTTAATAACATAAATTTCAGTTTTACTTTAAGTTAGAATACTTACCAGATTATCAAATGGAAAAGAAAATAAGATTGATGAAACATATACAAATATATTGGGTGAAGATGGTTGCAATTTTATTATTGGAAATAAATAACAAAACAAAATTGACAATAGTGTTGTAGTTAGTAAAGTGTTGGAGGAATACTGTTTTATTGAATAGTGTTAATGTATATCTAAAGGGAAATACTTTCTGAGTTACTTTGGGGTAGTTTTTGGTGCAGGCAAAAATATTGAATAATGTACCTCATCGATAAAATAGAAAATGACATAAGAATGGCAAAAAGTTTTCTTTCGTGTGACCAAAAACTATTCTCACAGATATCTTTTTTCGTTGGGATAATGATCATAGCAGTCGAGACCCATATAGAATCAATCAATGTTCTTTCGCAAAAGAGAGCTTATTTACTAAATGTCGGTATCGAAGCTCGGTGTTTCGAAGTTTCGAATTGTTTAATATTGATAATAGTTTGGTAAAGACAAAACATTTCGAAGTTAAGTAGTCTTGCACTCCGATTTGATGCATATTATGGTAAATTAAGTCAATGAAATCAGTATTAATTAAATAAAAAAAAAAATAGAACAAGTGGCGCCATCTCTCCGGCGAACAGGGTGAACTACACAGTTTTGAAACTGTAGTTTCATTAATTCCCACACACTGCCGCTAGCAGATGGCGACGCATAAGCTTTAGCGCCCTCTGGCGACAGTTTCGGAACTAATTAAACACCCGTTTCAAATGTGTGTAGTTCACCCTGTTCGCCGAAGAGATGGCGCCACGGGTTCTATATTTTTTTTAATTTAATTAATATCGATTTTATTGGCTTAATTAACGTTAATATGCATCAAATTACATCAGAGAGTAAGAGTAATTAATTTCCGTGTCCTGGCGAAAAAAAATTTTCGACAGAAACCTTTTTATCTTTTTCATATCATCCCCTACTTTGCCAACCTGTGCATGTATATGCACATGTGTATATATATATGTTTTTTTTAATTAGAAGATTTTTATAAAAATTCAATTAATATCGATTTTATTGATTAATACGTTATATATGTATTAAATATTTATTAATATTGATTCTATGCTACTTGCAATATATTCCGTTGGTCCGCAGATATAGATTATATGTTCAGAATAATTCGCACATTATACTGTGTCTCGTCGATGATATAGGGAATGACATAAGAATGATAAGAAATTTTTTTTCGAGTAAAAAACCATTCAGCACCCGCGAAAATATTACTAAAATACATTTATGAAGGAAACTTCCAAAATGCTTTCAATCTTCATATTAATTATTTTACAGTAAAATTGAAGTATCAAAATTAGTTAAAATTGAAGTATCAGTTGAAGTATCAATTCACTTAAAATTGAAGTATCAAAATAAGTTAACATATAATTATCCCAGCAAACTAACGATTATTTCAACTAACATATAGCCAAATAATTTAACACATTATTGACTGTTCTTTAACTACTTCATTTTGCTACTATATTTAGATAATGTCTAAACCTAGCCCTAACATTAATATTATCGGTAATAAAAATCGCAGTGAATATGTAATATCGTATTTATTAATCGGATCACATTGTCGCAGATATCGTTACACAGATTCGCCTGTACATTTCATCTAACTTTTAAATAATTCGCGAATGCCGTACCATATATACACGTACAAATAGTGGCCGTTTGGACCGATAATTTTCCAACAATTCGTCATCGAGACCGAGCGTAATGGCCCGGCCCGAGTCTAAGCCTAGAAATCAAATATAATACAACGACGATAAATCACTATCATCGAGAAGAAAAGGAAGCTGCTAACGTCAACGCAGTTACGTTCACAACACTCTCTTCGCTCTCGTTCTCACAGTCGTTAATTAAGGTATAAAAATAATAGCCTCCAGTCGGCACACGATTTGTCCGCCGGCTGTGTACACGAACGTTCGTTATTGATATCTGAGCATTTTTCTATTCGTACATATACAGGATGTTTCATAACAGTAGTTACTTTTATAATAAACAGAGGACACAAAAGCAATTTTAAAAATTCATACAAGTTGTTACATTTCATTTTATTTTTGTTTTATGATGTTGCAGTAATCTTGGATGATAAATTGAAGCAATACAATTCACATTATTAATCTGTTTATGTGCATACTTTAATATATTTAAGTAATTAAGGCTACTAGCCTTATTGTTTTAACCAGACATTGCTGCTGATGTACATCAATTTGTATATTATTTTATATAAATAATGAATGTTTTCCACCTTCAGCTTGTTACTTATATTTTTTTTTTGAAACAGTTTTCAATAGAAAAATATTTCTGATCATAATTTAATAAATTGTTTAGTCTCTACTTGAAGATATCAACAATTAATAGTACTATTTTACTGATAAAATTGTGGAACTGTACAAATCTTTAAAACTATAAGAATGAATATATCAGGACCATTAAAATTAAAATGTTATAGCCAGCAACGCTAACACAAAACAGTTACTTTGTATTTATGTATAAACAAATAATAATTTTGTAAATGATTGGCTTAACTGACATCTCACGCTCAACATATTTTTGATATTCTAAGATTTACACATACTATCACTTTGAAATTTAATTAACTGAACTATAATTGAGATCCACATAAAAGAATATTATTTTTAACAAAGTTCATTACAGATTTAAAAGAACCATAATTACTGTATTTAAATTTTCCATAAATTTTCATTATGTTAAGTACATCTCTGAATATAGTAAATATTTTAATTGATTTTGTGCCCAAAGTTTATAGCAAAAATTGGTGTTATAAAACAGCCTGTATATTCGCTTTCGTCGAATCGCGACGACAGAAATAAAAAAGGAAAACCACCATTATCGTCGCGACAAGTCACGCACAGTTTCGGTTTTGGTATCTTCTAGTCGCATAAAAATAGTTAGGCACTAAAACAATAATACAATATACATATACATATATATGTATATCAGTAAAGTCTGTCAGTTCTATACGAGAACTCGGCTAAATCGATCACATAGTTCACACGTTTTTTCGGTTACATTCGATCGCGTGAATAAACGCACGCTCGATGTTCTCGTAGCCGCCACCTTTCTTTCCCTCACTTTTTCATTATTTTTCTTTTTCTTTGTATAAATAACGAAATTGGTTGAAGCAAGGAACTGTGTGGTACGTAGTGTTTCGATGAGTCATTACATTCGATATAACGGTAATTCGAACATGCTACGTTTAGGATAAAAATCACGTTCGTTCAGTTTTCTTTTATTCTTTAAGCTATTAGAGATGTGCAGGTACGGCTTGGACTTGGAAAAACTTCAACGAAATTGGATGGGAATCCTTTATATACTCAGAACAATTTATAATTTTCAAATTTCTAAATTTACAAACATAAACTATTAAATTTCAAAATTTCTAAACTTACAGATTTACAAGTTCTGAAAGTCTTAAATTTCCAAATACCAGTTTCCAATTTTCTAAATTGCAAATTTACCAGATTTCTAAATTTTTAAGTTTCAAACTTCCTAAGTCCCCACAATTCTAATTTTCAAATTTATCAGTAGCTGTATTTGGAAATTTCCAGATTTCAAAATTCTGTAAATCTCAAATTAAATTTCCAATTTCCAGATTATTAAATTCCCCTCTTTTCCAATTATCAAATTCCTAAATTTCTGAATTTTTAAATATCCAAATTACCAAATTCTGAAAGTCCTACAGTCCTGAAGGGTGCTAAAATTTTTCCAAACCCAACCAGTACACATACCTAACTTGCACATCCTTATTATACGTATTTCTCTACTTTTTAAGTAAACCGAAGACCTCATTTCCTCTTAATACAATTTCTCGAAGAAAGAACAAAAATGGATTGCAATTTTAAGTTGGTCCGGGAAAAATGGAAATTCGTTTACCTCATAATTCCTTGAAACATACAAATTCGGGAACGATGTACCTTATATAAAATGTCAGTAAAAATTCTTGACAGAAGAAATTCTTCTTACAAAGGAATGCTTTGAATATTTAAAAAGAATGAGTAATGGTTTAACATTTTTATTCGACAGCTTGTTAACCCCTAAAACTGATGAATCGAATGAAGATACGGTTTTTTATGGCAGTTCGCGTGATATGTGTGATTCTAAACAAGCTTTCTGGCAATTTTTATTCGTACACCGATACACATTTGTTTTGTTCGGTTCTTTCTGTAGTTTTCACGCGACTCGATTTTCCCTCTTGGTACTCGTGGATAAAGGGACACTTTCGTTCGAGATGTCCCTCGTTATAAACGATGAGAATACGCACAAGATCGAATTACGTTTCACACGCACACAATAAATAAGTTACATTAATCACAACGCAAGTTTTAACAAAAGGTACAAATGCTACATGGAATACAAGATTGTTAATCTTCGATTTTGCAGCATGGAATGTGCTAATGGTCGTAATATCATTTTCTGTTTGTTTCTATTAAACTTTTCGTGTTTGTGAAAATTAGCAAATCTAGGAAAATATAAACATTAAAAATTTAATAGATGAATTTCAAAAATTTAACCAATAAAACAAGTAGGTAAAATCAATACAATTATCATAATTCATACTGACAGCGAGAAGTGAAAATATTTCTCTTAAAACAGGATTTATAAATAAGGTATTACATTATCTTTCAATCTCGCTACCAGAAAATTGTTCAAAATTTGTTGCAATTAAATTTGAAATGGTATATACTTATTTAAATTCTCACACGAAAAGATTAATAGAGTTGATTTAATTCTGTATGTAAATGTAAATGTAAATGTTATGGACATTAAACTAATTCCTTTACATCATATTTCTGTAAAAGAAAAGAGTTTGACGGTAACAAGATAATTATCAGCTGATGGGTGCAGTCTTAAGATATAAAGATACAAATATAACATGCACTGAAATATGTTTCAAAAATTCCATTTACATTTAATTGAAAATAACTTGTATCAAGTAATCAAAAGTTTGTTGAACAAACTTATTCTTGAAATGTTAGTATACATGATTGCTTCTTTGTATTACTGAGAAAGTACTTACTTTCTCTGAATTCATAAAAATTGAGCAGATACTTATTGGACCAACATTAACGATAAACACAAAATCATGTCTCAATAGAAATAATTTTCTATTGTGACATAAAAATATTATACACAAACAACAGGGTAAAGTGAAACACAAAATCACTATATTAATAGGAACAATCATGATTTTCACTATATTGTTGCATACATTTTTATCATCCAAAATATACATATAATACAAAAATTTTATCACTTGTAGAATTTGATAGAATGTCTGTTTTATTTTATTTTTATAGCAAGACAGATTAAAACATAAATCATAAGATAAATAAAGAAATTAAAAAAGTTCAAAATTTAAATAAATATTTACAAATTTTTTAATTTATAACTTTCCGAATTTAGAAACTTTTTAAATTATGTATATATTTACAGACTTACAAATTTGTAAATTTACAATTTTTTAAGCTTCGAAATTTGAAATTGCAAATTTTCAAATTTACAAGCTATCAAACTTTCAAATTTAGAAATTTAGAAAGTTTCCAATTTAAATTAATATTAAAAATCCACATAAGTAACGCTCAATTCAAAAAGATAATTGCATGTTAAATTGTAGATGTTCTTTTCATTTTAAGATATAGATGATGATAACAAATTGTTATGAAATATTATACATTATGATGATAAATGATAGTAATACATGAAAATATCCTTGATTGTATAAGAAAGAGTTGACGATTTTCGCATTTATATTCTTTATAGAAACTGTTTAATCAAAAGGATACTTATAAATTCTCGTTCTTTAATTATTTATTCACCGACAGTGTCTCCATTCATGAAAAAGACAAAAATAATATTTAAAAAAAAACGGTAAATTTCACAACCATCATCTTGCGTTACAATGACTTCGACTGTTTAAAAGTTCGATTTATTTTTCGAAAGTCTAAAAAATACCTTTAAGAAATAAAAAAGTTTCACTCGAAATTTTTATACATCAATGCCCTGCAATTTATACTGCAAATGAACACACATCGGTGTATCGTGTTTAATCTTCCATCCTATAATGCAAACGTTTAAAACATTTCAACAAATAAAAGCTTGGTTAATTGTTACATAATTCGTAAACATACAGCAAGATACAATTCCACGGCGTCTGAAATACATAAAATCTGGCGAATGTATACAAAAAGTCTGTAAAATGAAAATGCACGTAAAATGCAGAATAAGATAAAAGAAATTCGGAAACGATCAAATAAAGAATATACAATCCCTGTTTTAATCCCTTAGAGCAAAAAATTTTACTGTATGCTAAAGAATCTTGATATTTTTTACAACTCATGCTTTTTAATAAATGTTTCTATATTTCCATCAAATATTTCTACTTTCTGTTTGGATAATAACATAAAATATAATAATTTAAATAAAAATAGTTAATTACAAATAATTTCTAAAATTAGAATAGAAATAGTACAAAGTTTATATTAAATATTTCTTAAGAATTGCAATTAATCAATGCCAAGAAAGTAGAAATAATGAGGTTAAAAATATATATTTAAAATTAGATATTGCATTTCAAACACTTCCACAACATTCTTGTAAGTACATAATTCCTATCTAATATACTGTAAAAAAATTTATAATAAATAAAACATCATACTTTACAACATAAATACATTGATCTGATATTTGTAAAATCCTATGGAACACTTAATTCAATAAGTAAAATGTATTCTACATTTAGAAAAAAAGTTTTGGTTTCTATAGCTTGTCAATTGTGCATAATTAAATAAATCCAAATACATAAACAGCCCACTGAGTTTCTTTTTTTGTTGCTTATTTACTCCTGCACTGAATCTTTAATGTCATAAATATTTAAAGAGAGAAAACTTAAGCTTTTGTTTGCAAATATTACAAAGATCAAATTTGATATCTGTTCAAGTAATATAAAATATTCTGTACTTTCTTGTATCAAACTCTCACTGCTCAATAAATCATTTATATTTGACACAGCTATAAATATTTATCTCTGTACAAATGAACTCAACAGTTTTTCTTTCAGATGTTATTTTTACACATTATTGATTACTACCATAAAATACTAGTTTTCAATTATTATATTAGAGAAGTTATTTACTGCCATCTCATTATTTGATGAAATGCAAATTTTCAACCCTTATTCACACATACAAATTCAGATCCTACATCAGCTACATTTTTATACCAATCTTCACCCTTCACTGTCACTTTAATAAAAATTGTAATATCAGATTGGCCAAAAGCTTTATTTCTCTATTTTCTGTGTGGTATCTGCATGATTTCTTACTCAAACTTTTGATCTTGATGGTAAATTACAGTGAAAACAATGCACTATTCATTAGAGTCAAAATAAAAAACTAAAATGAGTGAAACTCTTCCAATAATTAACACCTAGTGGTGTTAAAACAGTGTTTCAGGTATTGCAACAGCCTTCTTTTTTGAGATAAAGCACAATTATACATATTTGCTTTTGAAATATAATTTACGTAACACACAATTAATATTCCTTAATTATGTAGAAACTTGAAAGGGAGTTTGAAAGTTTGAAAGGAATCTTGTGAAAGGATAATTATATTAGCATTCTGAGATTCTATTCAAACAGCAAATTTAACATAAATTACCCAAATATTCATACAATTAAGTTATGGAGTCCTTGATGTGTGACCTTCACTTAAAAAATTCTAACGAGAAATAAGTAAAAGGAAAAGAAAGTTATTGAATGTAAAGAGTGATATAATACATCAATTCATTCAAAATCTAGAATTAGTGAATCATGAAGTAATCTCAACACAAATTGTTCACCACTAAAATCCATATTAACCAACCGATACTCTTCAAGTGTCTACACATAAATTTAAATAAATTTGTATACTGTAAAGTTAAAATAAATGGACAATGCATCGTTTTCAATAAAAACCACAAGACAAGACTTTAGTCAATAAAAAATTCATGTAATTACCAGAAAGATCAAAGGTGGCGAGCAAGCACTGCCACATGAGGTTATTGTCTTCTGAAACTTCTTGGCCAATATAATATTTTCGAGCACGAAGCGTTTGCAAGTGTCATTAAATAAAACAGCATATCAAGATTCTTTAAACACAAATGGTTCAGCTCTCATTCGAAATCGGTTGACACTCGAGTGAATCGCACTCGGCAAGAGCTTCACCGCGACGAAGCGAGAATTCGTCTGTCAAAAGGCTTTCGGACAACATGGCCGCGGAATCTATGCTGTCGAAATAACGATGTGGCCAGACAGAGCTCTGTCGAAATCGTCTGGTTGGTGAACCAATGATGAATTCCACTTTGGTGGTGCCAGTCACCGATGAGGTCTCCTGATTCAACGAGTCCGGATACAAAGAGGAGTCGCTGTGTCGGAAGCTGCCGTTTGTGGAGCACCAAGAACTCGGTGGTTCGGTGCAACTCTGAAAAACATCGAATCTCATTAACATTTTTGACGAGGTGACGGTGGTCGATGATAAAACTGAGTTTCGAGACTTGTACGCAGCTTGTACGTGATTCCTCCGAGGCATAGTACACAAACCCACAATGATCAAGTGCTCGTATACCTTCTTTCATAATGATTGTCGAAAGTGCTACTAAATGTGGGGTCGAGTAGACATTCTTGCAGTCACGATCAAACGTTCGTATAACAGTGCATATTTGAGATTAAAAATAAAATTGAAAAACGAACAATAAAACATAAATTGTATATATTAATTCTTGAACTAAAATAAAAATTTAAAGAACCTTGACTTTTTTAATTTGTATGAAAGTAAGAGACTGTCCTTTCTGAATTACTGTCTACGTTCATACAGAAGAGAAGACTGAAGTCTGCAAAGTATTTTTAGATACGAAAAATGTATTTATATAAAACGTAATGTACTTGTATAACTGTTCGATAAATTCTTAACCTTTCTCATTTTGTAACAGATAATAAAATTCTTGTTCCTTTTTTATTACTCATGAAAGAGTGAAAGTAGTTCTTAAAATTGGGGTTAAGAAACTCATTTGATTAAATACCTCGTCAAAATTTTACCACCAGTAACTAAAGAGGAAAAGTGCATGTATTTTTCTTGATACTAAAATATACTCCTTAGGATTTTAAAAAATTTACACATTTCATAGTTTTTATGCATACGTCATTTTTTAGCATTCTATGAAAAAATTACAAAGATCAATGACATACTTAAAACTCAAAAATAATTTTTAATTTGTTCAACATTAATTTATAGTATTTATAAAAATTGGTGTATATAAAAAATATTAAAAATTTCCTACAAAACATGAAGTGTATTTGCATTCCTTTTTTTAATAAAACCACTTTATTATCTACCCTCAAATTTTTATATAAAACACCATAAGTTATGAAATAATTTTCTACAAAATTAAATTAAATTTTATAAACATCTCTCAAATTATTAAAATTTTTCACAACCTTCTTTAAACAAAACCAAAGATCAATCCATTTAAAATATCTATAATTTCATTAAAAAAACAAATAGAATTAACCTTGAAATCTAAAAAAATCTACTTGTAGAAAATGATTACTACTGAAACGATGCTGTGTATGTTATATAACTTTAGCAATAACAGAGATAATTAAGGTGATAAAGTTAGGTAACCCAGTACACCCAATCAATCAAAGAAAACGATTGAACTTTTGATCGTCACTGCAAACATCAATTACACTCTGGGCGTATTAAAAAAGAAATTCGAAGTAGCATTTAATTTGTAGTATCACGTAGCACTGGACGTGAGATGGACAATAAACCGCAAGGCCAAGCAGGTAAGCGTGTGGTCGATTCATTTTCCTTTACATCAATCATTATAAGTGCGAATCCGAGCCACGTCATGGCTCTTGAGGCTATATCCGCATACAAGCAACGCTAGCAAATAAGATCAAACTTCAGCAAATAAAAGAGCAAACAAACTATATGATTAATGGACATTGAAAAAAAACAAGGGAATCTCCTACTAGCGCGACGTGAAAATTAACATTTTTACCGGACGAGTGTGCTTAAATTAATTGTTCGTTTCTCTGTTTTCTGTAAACGACGAGATGTAACGACACGATGGAGGAGTGGAGAGTGGAGGAAACGGACGGATAAGTATTTCCCGATGTTCGCTTTTTCGTTGGGTTGTTCAGTGAATTTTGTGATTTTAATTGGACAGTCAATTTTTTGATTCGACTAATCTTTTTGGTATTTTAACCCTTAAAGTAGTATTGTTTTGTGAAGTTAATAATTGGTTTAGATATATTTGTTTTAGGTGTAGTACAGTTTTGTTATATTTGTTATATTTGTAGTGTGTTGACTAACATTATGGGGTTTCTTAAATTTTTAAATTTCTAAACATCTAAATCTTTAAATTTCCAAACTCCTAAAACTCCAAACTTCTAAATTTCCAAATTTCTAATATCAAATCTCTATTTCTCCAAATCTCTAATTTTCCAAATTTCTCAATCTCAAATCTCTAATTTTCCAAATTTCTAAATTGCCAAATTCCTAAATTCCCAAATTTCTAAATTTCCAAACTTCTAAAACTCCAAATTTCTAAATTTCTAAATTTCTAATATTCAAATCTCTATTTCTCCAAATCTCTAATTTTCCAATTTTCCAAATTTCTAAATTTCTAAATTTCTAAATTTCCAAATTCCCAAATTTCTAAATTTCCAAACTTCTAAAACTCCAAATTTCTAAATTTCCAAATTTCTAGTATTCAAATCTCTATTTCTCCAAATCTCTAATTTTCCAAATTTCTCAATCTCCAAATCTCTAATTTCCCAAATTTCTAAATTTCCAAATTTCCAAATTCCCAAATTTCTAAATTTCCAAACTTCTAAAACTCCAAATTTCTAAATTTCCAAATTTCTGTTTTCCAAATTTCTCAATCTCCAAATCTCTAATTTTCCAAATTTCTAAGTTTCTAATTTTCCAAATTTCTAAATTGCCAAATTTCTAATTCTCCAATTATCAAATTCTCCAAATCCCTAAATCTCCAAATTTCTGAATTTGAAAGTTTGCAAATTTATGTCATAACTATAATAACTCTATAATGCAATATACAACCTTGCAACTTTTAAGGGTTAATTTACCTGTTCACAAAATTCAGAACAACTCATTATACCATTCCACATGCATTCGTTGTAAAAATACGCGACTACTGCATTATAAAAAAATAAAATTCAACAGTGCAGGTAAAAATAATTGATAGCGTACTATTAAAACTGAATACCATTTTTATCGTTGATCAGTTATTTCTCCCTTCTAAACTATATGAAGGATTGAATTGTCGAGTAACATGATTTTATATTTTTTAAAGAAATTCTCATAAACGTATTCACCTTTCTCTTCATTTTAAATTATCAACTTCTTCAAGATATAACTATCTTGAATATCAAAGTTAAATTATGAGATTGTACTTTTTAACTGAACATAATTTAATGTCATAAGATGTTATGAAATAAGAAAAATATATAATCAATGATTATCTTACCCATTTTTCCAGTATCTCCTACCAGTACCTATGGGTAACAAAAACTTTTGCACATTTAATTAAAAAATCAAAAGCAACACCAAATAAAACAAACATAGACTTCCAATTATATCCCCTTTACTGCTAAACTCCACATATACCTTTTCCATAAAAGACACATCAAATTTAACGAATAAACAAGAAACTCAAATCAAGATTGATAAACAAGAAACTCAGCAATAAATTACAAATATATTTATCAAGTATTAACTCGCAAGTTAATTAAAGTTAATTAAAATTAACTTGCTTTCTTTCTCGACCCTTCAACCCTTCAACCTCCGCAAAACCCCTAAATGATAAGGTGCGTTAAAATCAAGGACCAGAAATTTAGCTAATTGTGTCTGAAAAGAAAGAAGGTAAAATAATAGGAAATTATACGAACGCTACAGAGGACCCGGCAATTTAATTGGATATTACAGGGAGGCTCACTACGGGTGCGTGCGCATGCCAAACTCCAAAGTGATAAAAGTATAGGGACGACTACTGAACTACTGACGAAAAAAACAGGAAGAATCAGGATAAAAACAGGCTCATAGCTCACCACATCCAGGAAGAAGCATCGAAGCAAATGATAATAAAAGAAGCATAACTTACGAGAAAAACCGGCGGCACGCGAGAAGGGGCCATTTTCTTTATTGGACCGCCGGGGACGGGCTCGAACGCACGCTCGCCTGCGCTCCAGATCAGACATTTCGGTAGTGGATCGTCGGGCGATTCGTCGTATTTTTAAGACAAGCGTCGGTCGAAAGTCTCTGTGTGCGTCAGAGTTTCAGTAACTCTGTATCAGAAATGATCGTGTCGTAGGGAAGGTGTTAGATCGCTCGCGATCTCAAGAAAACTAGTACGCTACGAACTGTGTATCCCTCTCGGTAAAAGAAGCTACGTATGGAAGCAGGAACCGCACAAAGAGAACGACGAAAAGAGAGAGTGATTACGGAAGTGATTAAAAGAACGATCGTGAACAGCGTGACACGTCGATTAAAAGTCGATTAGAACGCTAACGGCGGATCGAATCGGTTACATGATGCTCGGTGACGTAAATGATAGAACCCGTGGTAGACACATCGTGGTGAGATCCGAGTAACCGATCGCGAGCAGAGACGTTTGTTAACGGGGATCACGGTGAGTATATGTCAGTGTGTCGAAACTGGAGGATATTAAAGAGGTCCGAGAGGCGGGGCTCGAATGAGGGCGCGGTTAGAAGCAGCGGATATCCCTAAACAGCGACTATCGGCCGTCCTGGAGAAGAGGATACAGTGGACTCTCTACTAGATCTGGCCATTGGACACCGGTGACTTCAGCCAGCTGCTCCAAAAGTATAGCTTTACGGATCGTACCTTGCCGTTCTCGGTATCAACGGACGTTGACGCGCGGGCCAGGCTGTGGGAACGGCGTGCAGGAGCGGGCGGTCGTCGAGGAGGAGTCGTCCCCGGGGATGAGGACGTGCCGAGGTTGTTAGACTCCAGCGAGTCTCGGGCTCGGGACAGCGAGGAGGATTTGTTTAAGGAGTCTCGGCTGGAATTGTTACGCGGCAGGGACCTGTTCAGGGACTCCCTGTTCGTCTCCTTGCTGTTTCCGTTCCCGTTATTGTTGCCACCGCCGTTGTTGCTGCTGTTACTGCTCTTCGTCAAGCTCTTGTTGTTCAAAGAGTCTCGATTCGAGTCACGAGCCTTCGACAGAGACTTTCCACCGTGACTGTCGCGACTAGAATCACGCGGAGGTCTCGTTAACGACTTCAACGACTCTTTGCTGTCGTTCCTTCCGTGGCTAGGTGGCCTGGGTGCCGTCGACT